TAGTTGCTCAGATTACCAGATATAGGCATGTAAGACTGATCAAACAATATAAACACGAACTTCTCCTTTCAATGAACTAACAGAAATTAGTAGTACAATTATCTTAGCTATCGTGTGTGTGTGCGTGTGTGTGCGCGTGTATATATGTATATATATTTCTCCCTTGTTTTTCCTTTCCCCCATCCCAGTCATTCTTTCCTTGTTGAACAGTTTCTTTTCCTTTCACAATGTCTATTGTACATTTTGGATCTTACTCTTTCAGTTGCATACACTAGGGAGACAATACAATGTTTACACATGCGAGTCTAATTTATTCCATTTATAAGTATGGTCTCTAGTTGTATCCATTTATCTATAAAAGCCTTGAGTTTATCTTTCTTTATGGCTGCGTAATACTCCATTGTATAAAAATATCACATCTTTTTTATCCATTCCTCTGTTGATGGGCATTTGGGTTGTTTCCAAGATTTAGCTATTACAAACTGTGCTTCTGTAAACAGAAATTTATTCTTTAACAGTTCTGGAAGCCAGAAGTCTGCCATGAGGGAGACCACCAGAGACTCTGTCTTCTCTCTGCATGTCTCTTGGAAGGACATTTGTCATCGGATGGCAGCCTGTCCAGGACATCCAGGAAGATTTGTCTCAGATCCTTTACTTCATCCTGTCTGAAACAGCCTTTGTCCAGACGAGCTCACTTCCCAGGCTTCTGGGATCTGGATGTGGACATGTGATTTCGGGGCCCACCATGCAACTCCCTGTGGATCCCTAGCTGCACGGGGCGGTGACAGCTGAGTGCTTTGTGAGCAGTAGTCCATTTCATCTCTGAGCACACAGCTGCTCCCTCAGACGTTTAAGAAGACAGTGACAGAATGAGCTGTGGGTTTGCAACGCTCATCCTGTTGGCCTGTGACACGTAGGGTGAAGGACGTCTTGGTTTAGGTTCTTTCCACTGCACACAAGCATGGCTTGAAGGGCCTTGTGGCCTGGCCTCTGGCTGGGCTCTGGAGGCCTCGCTCCGCGGTGGGCAGGAGATGGTAACTTTCTACCTGGAGAGCCTGCGGGGGCCTCTGCTCCCAGCCTGGCATGCTCTGGATGCGCTTCCTGTTCTAAAGTCTCTCTGCTCTCCCCCAACCCCAGCAGACTGAGAGAGGCTCATTCGCATGCATTTGATTTCCATGGGGCCTCTTCCCTTGAGGACTTGGCTTGAGCACTTTCCGAAGCATGACATTCCCACAGAGGCCTCAGCATTACTCAGCAATCACAGGCCATTGTGCTCATGGGCAGGCATCTTCTTTGCCCTGAATTTAACCTCTGCAAACCTCGATTTTCTCATCCAGACGGGAGCAGGATGACACATGGGGAGAGGAAGCTCCAGGCCTCCCTGCTGTCACTGAGGAGTCCCTGAGCCTGCAGGGCTCCATGGGTCATGCAGAAGCAGGGACTCACACAGGAAGCCTCCCAGATCCGGCTGGAGCTGGGCTCGTAGGTGGTGTAGTACGTGAGCCCAGCCTCTTCTCTGTAGCATCAAGAGCATGTTGTCTCCGGTGCCCAAGCCCAGTCTCCTCATCTGCAGACAGGGATGCTCGCAGGACCACCCATGAACCAGCTGGAGAACACCGTGACGTGCAGGGAGGCAGGGAGCCTTGGGGCAGGCAGGGGTTTGGAACTAGCTTGAATCAGCTGATTCTGTGGTTAGTGCTTTCAGTTTTTTGTTTTTTTGTTTTTTTTTTTTTTGGTACTGTAGGTTGAATCCAGGGCCTTTGACATGAACTCATGAACTACATCCTCAGTCCATTTTTTATTTTGTTTTGAAACAGGGTCCACCTAAGTTGCCTAGGCTGTTGAATTTTGATCCTCCTGCCTCAGCCTTCCAGAATAGTGGTTCTTAGTGGGATTACAGATGTGAGCCACCACACCCAGTGTGGCTAGTGCTTAGCTAACATTATTTAAACAAGCTACTTCATTGCAAAGATAAGCTTCAGGGACCAGAGGGTCCGGATCTTGCTCCTGAGCAGATACCCACACCCCAAAGGGGAGAGACCTGGAGCAGCCCCAGCTAGGGAAGGCTGGCTAGTATCTGCGGCTGTGGCTGTGCTTCCCTAGCTCCGCCTCCCTCTGCCCACCCAAGAGTCCCAGAAACTGGCCAGGGCAGTGAGCAGGGCCATGCGGGGGTGGACACAATGCTCAGCTGTCCTGGGAGGTCAAGAGAGAAAAGGGGCCAGCAGCCGCCATCCAGAAAGGGCAAGGTAAATGCAAGTGCACACATGCTCACTCACGCACACTTACACTCATTCACACTCACACCCAAACATGCACACACGTTCTCAAATTCTTCCATACACTCACACGTGTCCACAGTGAGCGACACAGGGAGATGCTAGGACAGAGACAGAGGTATCAAGAGACAGACAGACAGATGACAGACACACAAGGAAGTGCAGCACACAGCCCAGCGCTGTCAGAGGAGAACTGCAATGGAATCACAGAGGGTCCTGGATGGAACCAGCAGAGGGCTCAAGGCCAACGGCAGCCCAGCCAGTGCAGGTCGGAGCTGTTCACCCATCTCGTTCAGCAGTGAGATCGGCGGCAGCTGCCATTTGGTTTGCTCTGTGGAGATTTGTCAACCATTGTGCCCACCCCTGCCCCCTTTCTCCTCGGAGACAGGTCTTGCTGTGTTGCCCAGCTGGCTTCTATCTCCTGGGCTCAAGGGATCCTCCTGCCTCAGCCTCCTCAGCAGCTGGAACTACAGATTTGTGCCCTGTGCCCAGCTTGCCAATCACTTTGGTCACATGCACCCGCTTGACAATGCTCCTGTCGAGGGGTTAGTGCTCTGGGTACTGAGGCTCACTGCCCCTGGTCCCCAGCCAGCATGAAGGCCAGTGCACAGGCTGAGTGCCAGCTCTTCCCCTTCTCCTGCTTCTCTGCTCCAAACCTCCAGGTGAGGGACAGCCTGGTCACTCCTGGGCCAGGTGCCATACCCTCCCAGCCTACCTTCCTCCTCCTGTCTTCTCGGCTAGTACCCCTGGGAGCTCTCATTCCCTGCCTGGGGACCCACTGCTCAGCCTCCCTCGCACAAACTAGAACCCGGGAGTGACCACACCAGCTGGCCACCTACACCCAACAAGGGAGGGCAGCAGGTGGAGGAATGCACCCCTCTTCTAGCTCAGCGGAAGTTGAGGCGTCCTCAGCACAACTCCTGGGCGGTGGGGAAGGGCCCTGCAGCACCGAGCCCCTTGCTCCCAGGCCAGTTCTGCCTCAAGCCCTGTTCCCTGGCTCTCACTCTTGTTTTATGCTTCCTGGGCCCTGCTCCTTTCCGTGAATCAACTCTCCTGTGAAACCACCTACGCAGGGCCTGGTCCCAGCTCTGCCTTCTGGCCCCACACCAGGCCCTCCCGTATTGTCACCAGGGGAACTAATGCTCTTCTCTCCTCCCCTTTCCCTTCCCCCGGGGGCCAGAGCTCTGGTCTGATCTATTGTTTGCTGGATTCAGGAACCACTGAGTTCCCTGGGGGTCCAAACCGAGCTTGTTTATCCAATAACAGTTAATTGTCAGCATGGGCTCTGGTCTTGAAACAAACAAAAAAGTGCAGAAGCTGGGATAGGGTGGGGGTCAGGACCTGAAAGCATCTGTTTCCCTGAGGACATGCATGAAAGGGCAGGTCACAAGCAGCCCTTCAGGGTCCCTGTTTTGGTGTTTGTACATGGGATGTGTATTTTATGTTATTTTATTTATTTATTTGTCTTTTTGAGACAGGGTCTCACTATGCAGTTCAGGCTGGCCTTGAGCTTACTTTGTAGCCCAGGCTGGCCTTGACTCACAATGATCTTCCTACTTCAGCCTCCCGAGTGCTGAGATTACAGGCATGCACCACCACACCCAGTGGGATGTGTATTTTACACAGATTTACTCTATCTTTTGACTACAAAAGCAAAGCCTACCTGTTTTCCAGGTTACAGCCACCCACAATGGAAAGTTTAGGAGCCAAAAGCAAAATGCCCTCACAGTCTCACCCTTTTCACTTGAGGGTGGTTTTTGTTTTTTCCGTGGTGCTGGGGATTGAACTCAGAACCTCATGCATAATAAAGGAGCTCTCTGTCACTGAGCTACATCTCCAGCCCTGGGGGTGATTACTTTTAATTATCTTTGGACCAGGGCATTCTCAGCATCAGAGAATGAGCCCAGTTGGTTTCTTCAGGGACAGCCAGTGCCTGTTTCTTCTTAGGGAGCTCATCCATCCATTCACTGACAATGTGTTGAAAACCTATTAGGTGCCAGGAGGTTGCTTTGAACCGACAGATGACAGATGAAATTCCCGGGATCTCCTGGCAGCAGGACTCTGAGCCGCTATTCTGCTCTGGCGTCCAGGGAGACCCAGTGAGAGGCCAGAGCTGCCCCACTGTGCTTGCTACACCCACAGGGAAGGGCCCTGCCTGATTCAGAATGCAGAGCAGGGATGGGAACTGGGAACCTGGGGCCAGGCTTTCCCGTTGGGGGGCCCCCTGCTGGGGGCTCCTACCACCTGGAAGTTGTCACTTTTGGGCCCAATCAGATCCTTCCCTCCCTCCTGAAAGGCTCTCTTTCAGGCCTGCTTGGCTAGAAGTCATCTCCAGAGGTAATCTCTGTGTACCCTACCATCTGCCTTGGGGGTGGGCATGGAGCCTGGCAAAGCTGGCAGCGTCCTGAGGGTGGTGCTGCACAGCTCCTCTCGTCCTCCCGATTGCTAGCTCTTAACATACCCCCACCACCACCACAGGTGCCCACAGCAGAAAGGGAGATCGTGGAGGGACAGTAGACTGGGGTTTCTGCCAATGGGTTCTCTGAGTGGAATCTTCTTTCATGAAACCCAGTGGGGTGCAGAGGCTGGGCTGGGCCCTGCATGGCCTTGTCAAGTAGGGTGTCCAGAGAGCCACAGGGGTTGGCATGTATGCCAGGAAAGGGGGATCGCAGAAGGTGCAATGTAGGTTGTCTCTTGTCTCATGTTAAAGCTAACTTTAACATGTTTATCACCTCTTTTTCTTTTATTAACACGTGTTCTTTTGTTAAACATACAAATCACGCCCTCTATCATGTAACAATTCTAAATAAATTTTTGGACTCCTAAACAATTAAAACAATGGGGAGTGCTGCTTTATTTGAATCACCCTCCCGATGCAGCCGATGTACACCCGCACTTTTGGCATCCAAGGTCTGAGAAGCTCGGGCCGAGGTGGCTGCCTTTCAGACACGAGGCGCAGACGCAAACAGGACCGATTCTCTGGCGGAACCATTCCTGAGGGATGCGAGCCGGATGCCTGAGGTTCAAAAGCGCAACCTTGGATAACTCCGACAGGCAGGAGGGGGATCCCATCCAAGGATTGGGGGCCGTTTGCTTTTCTCCCTTCTGCCGGTCTTCAGGTCTCCCCAGGGCAGCCGATTCCTCTCAGTGGGGCCGGCTGTCCCCGCACCCACTCCATAGACACACGCTTTTGTTCCTGAACAACTCATCTCTCCCTTAACCAACCAGGTGTTCTGTCAAATTGAAGGAAAACAATTCAGACTCGCTGTGGAAGCGCTTGCGTTTTTAAGGGAGCTGGAGAATTCAAACACATCTCAAACGGGTAGGAGGTGCACGGAGGAGCTCTGTGAAGCCAGGTCTCCACCAGTGCCCGTGCCACGCGGCCACTCCCCCTCGGTCCTTCCAGAACCGGGCTCAGCCGCCCTCCCCTCCGCGGGAAGCTCGCCCGGCACTGGGTTCGTGGGCTCCGGGGTGGGTGGGGACACCGAGGGCTGGCGGGGAGCGGTCCCCAAGCCTCGGCCGGCTTCTCCGGAGCTCGGAGGGAAGCTGAGGCCGAGGAGGGGCGGCGGGGCGCCGGACCGATCGCACTCACCTGCGGGAGCGCACGGCCCCGGCTTCCCTCCTCGAGGCGGGCCTCCGCGCGCGGCGTGGATTCTCCATCCTTCCTGCCCGCCGCGCACCCCGCTTCCACGCGGTCGGTGGGCCGGGATCCCGGGGACCCCGAGGGCTCTTCTAACTACCGCTCCGCGGGCCGGGGACCCGGACTGGTCCCCTCCGCCGCCGCCCGGGCGCGCTCGCCGAGGGGGCGGGGACTCGAGGAGGA